AGTCGACATCCGCTACCGTCTGCCTACGATTGCACCTCAGTTCATCCCTAGCATGGAGATCATTGAAGGAGATGGAGGAGCCGGCAGCATAGTACTAACAACATTTGCTGGTGGTATTGGTCATAAATTTCTATTTCTCACCCATTTTCATTGCCATATCTGGCGATCCGAAATACTCAGATCTTATTTATAGGATAACAAATAGGGCACAATCTTTCAATTTGACATAAACATTCTCTTCGTTTCTTTTTCTTTTCTTTTTTTTTAAACTAGTAAATGAGATTTTATTGCAAGCTCACTATTGAAGCAGGATACAATACAATACAACGATATCGGATCATAAACACAACAACTTAAATTGACGCATGCAATGCGATATGTAGGCATCATTATCTTATACATAATATCGCAATAGGCATATAAATGTTTTCGATATGCCAGTAACCACGCCATGTTAACCATGCACATAAATTTTCCCAGATCTTATCATTATCTTATACAAGTATACAGTTTTTGAGGGAAATATTGATGTTTTTGAGACAAGATTGTTAGTGTCGGTGTAGACACAAACCTCCGCAGGCGACGGTTCGAGCGGGCGAGGTGAGCTCCGGCGAGCTCGAGATCCACGCAGGCGAGCGTGGGTGACGCGGTCCAGGGCGAGATCCGCCAGACGACTCAGGCGAGATCGATGACGAGGCCAGGCGAGCTCGTTGCGGTCGAGCTCCAGGCGGGCGCCGGCTTCAGGCGAGGTCGTGAACACGCAGGCGAGCTCGAGCGACATCAGGCGAGGTCAAGGCTTTGTAGGCGAGCTCGAATCATGCTGCAGGCGAGCTTGAATCGTGCTGCAGGCGAGCTCGACGGTGCAGGCGGGCTTTGGGCGAGTAACGACATCAGGCGAGCTCCGAGATAGACTGTCGATAGCCTGTCTCTAGCTGGAGCGCTCAAATCCAACGACGGCGGCTTCTTTCTCTCTCCTTCACGCGTTCTCTCTTTCCAGTGGCGGCTCCGTTTTTTCTCCAGCTCTCAATCACGTTTTGAGGGGAGAGAATTGGGTGGGGGTGGGGGGCTCTTGATTCTTATCTCCAGCCCTCAGTGAATTAAAGATGAGAGATTTAAGAGGGATTCTTTTTCCCACATCTCAGTTTGAGGGGGAATTAAAGAAGAGAATTAACATTATAGCTACAGTGTTAATTTGTATTTTGAGAGATCTCAAGTTTGAGATCTGCTCTTATATTGTAATTTCTTGTTGATTAATAAGAAATTAATTGTGTGGCTTCCGAGAACATAGGCAGCTGTCGAACCTCGTTAAATTTTGTTGTATTTTCTTTATATTGTGTTTCTGCTGTTTTAGGGGTTTTACGTAGCCCCGGGTATTCCCCAACAACTGGTATCAGAGCATGACACGATCTAGAGGAAGTCAGAGAAAAGTGAGACTTAGAAGTTTGATGGAACAAATTTTGGATTTTGAAAAATATAGATAGAGGATTATCTGTATTAAAAAATTTGTATCAACGTCTTTCAGGGAAGAAGCCGGAGGGTATGAAGGAAGAAGATTGGAATCTTCTAGACAGAAAGGCCCTTGGGGTTATTCGTTTAACGTTAACCCATAATGTCGCTTTTAACATTGTAAAGGAAAAGACCACGACAGGTCTTATGGCAGCAGTACTCTCAAATATGTATGAGAAGTCATCAGTCTCAAACAAAGTTCATTTGATGAGACGGTTATTCAATATGCGAATGACAGAAGGTGCATCGGTAGCACATCATCTCAATGAACAAAATACAGTCACGACCCAATTGAGTTCAGTTGATATTGAATTTGATAAAGAAGTACGAGCGTTGATCCTTTTCCCTACCAGAAAGCTGGAATGCTACAGTCAAAGTGATGAGTAGCTCGTCGGGAAGCAACAAGTTCAAGTTATAAATACTCTTATTTATGATAGAAATTTTTGAGCTCATAAGGTTATACACACTTTAAGGAAACATATGGTGCTCAAGTGAGAGATTGTTAGATTTAAATCTAATTAAATCTATTTGTGGACACATATGTTATATCAGTGTGTGTTGTTATCTTTACAGTTGACCCACATAAAGTGATCAATCTGGTAATTGGGTATTTATATATGTCATGAGCTAATTGTGCAGATACCAGTGTGTGTTGTTATCTTTACAGTTGACCCACATAAAGTGATCAATCTGGTAATTGGGTATTTATATATGTCATGGGCTAATTGTGCAGATACCAGGTTGTATTTATAATTTGATGAGAGATCAAATTATAAAAGTACAACACATATATATATGAGGTTATGGTCCTTAATCTAGTGAAAACACACTCTCTATTCTCTTATCCCCATCCAAAGAGATACCAAAGGAGAAACCCTAAGATTAGAAGATCATCAAAACCCTAATTTAGATCCAAGCAATGGATTCAGGTATAGCTTCCGCTCTTCTTTTTGTTTAATCTCTACGATTTAATCACGGATAAAGTCCAACAATTAGTTCATCTATATTTCTCTTTAAAAAATTTATAGAATACAAAACACCATAAAAAATATATAACATGTGAAGATCTTTAAATTAAGAATTTTCCTATTATAAAATATTCTATGCGCTCCTCAAAAAATAAATAAATTACTTACACAAATTACCTGAAAATATTATCTCAAATTCTCTCTACTTTAACCGATTTTTCTCCATGAATTAGATTGAAATTCTAATGGGTTCTTAAGATTATTCTAGGAATAAATATTTGAGTTCTTAAGATTATTTTATCGATACTTTAAAATCTTATATCTCATCTAATGTTTCATTTGGTTACTTCATATTGAGGGATTTAACTCTACGCATTGTTTAGTTCATACCAAATCTCGCATAGGCAGGAATCAAATGAGTGTTCTTCGGTAATTTTAAATAAACCGGCTACTTAGAAATAAAAGTCATGCACACTCTTATTTTGCATTTTCTTTATAAAAAATTACAGGTCAAGTTGCAATTTTGAAGAAGCAACAATTCAAAGAAAGAAATTTTTAGAAACATGGTCATAATAAATAAAATTTATAGAGAATAAAGAAATCAGATACACAAATGAAAGAAACCGAACTCACCCGTACGAGTACGGGCAAAACATTTGTAGATATGGATGCATAATGATTCTATCAGAACACATTATAAAAAAGAGTGATTTATACCACTCATGAATGATTAGAGAGGTAGTTTAAAAGTTACAGGTTCTAGTTCACCCTACTTTTATTGAGGTGGTTCTAATAGTATGCTGAACTCCTCAAAATCTTCCTTGAAAAATTTACCAAGAAAGAGAATAATAAAAGAACAATAACCAATAAACAAAGGGATTTTTTACAAAATAAACTTATTTTGCTAAATATTTAGTAAAACAGACCGTTCAAAATAGTAAAAAAGATATCGATTTTAAAAAACATACCATTCAAAACATACGGGACTACTAGTCCCGTATAATCCCCTCCTCCTAGTCCCGTACAATCCCCCATCTCCTGCTCCCTCTCCGCCCCCTCCTCCATCTCCCTCCGCCCCCTCCGTCATCAAGAACC